AGACACATATTCAAATTCAATTTCACAAACCATGCAAAAAGGTAATTCTGTGTATTTCTGAGGTTTATGCGGACCTTTTTGTTCTTTTTCATCTCTGCAGCAGTGTTACGTTTATTTTTTTCCCTTGACCGGTGGTTAGGTCTGCTGCGAGCGTCGAAAGATATATTTGGTGGCTGTTTATGATCATACAGATGTAATAACAATTTTGAACTGCCTGAAATGGCTATTTTTGAATTGTTGTCCTGCTTGAAGGACGATGATCTAGCAAGCCAGTGAAAACTCGCATGCCACCATAGTGAACGCACGTCTTGTATTCAGCGCATGCCATTATAGGGAACGCGCTTCTTGTATTAGGACGACAACGATGACACTCGTGGTTTTTTGGTATGTGCAATTGCTCCGAGGATCTAGGCGAAAACTACATTTGCACCTGCGAAAGTGTTCAGCCTGCCTTATTACAACATGACATTACAAAGTTTGCACACAGACTGGCTGATAGCCAGCCGGTCACGTGACAGGGTATTTGAATTTTAGTCTTGAACCCTTTTTCCAGCAAGACTGACATGAATATCCAAGCTTAAAGATTTTGATTTGCAACGTTCCCTATGAAAAATATAAGACAGTCATCTGTATGTATGCTACCTACTCGAAAAGTACTAAAACAGCCCTAGAAGCTGGCTGGGCGAGATAGTGTGGTGAATCTAATTTGTGGTTATTGCTCTTGCCCTTATTAATGGCTTCAAGATTTTTCGTTTGACTATAAGCTGAGCTCAAGACTGAACTTGCACATTAGGCAGGAGGAAGTTGATCGGTAAGGTGGAAGAAAAATAGACAGTTCACCTGAAGTTTCTATTTGCTGAACGAAGGAAATGTTTACCTATTTCGGTTGTGCCTCCTGCTGTGGTCAAGATTACCTCGCACCTCCAGTTATTTATTTGAAAAGTTGCTCAATTCGTCGGTAAAATCCGAAGGAATCTGCACAACCAAAGTGTTATGCATAGTTTTCTGATTCACAACCAATTCTGTCAGATATAAACGTGTTATCACATGATCTGTCTGAACTGAGTGAGAGGAAACCCAGCGTGATAGTCCCCTATTTTGGTAATATTTTATTTCTTTCAGAAGAAATTGAAATCTCATTCAACATTTTTTAAATCAGAAAAAAAACGGATGTATTGTTTAGGATAATTTTCATCAATAGTGAAACTGCAGAATAAATATGGGGGTTTTAGAACCCAAATGCAGTCACAAATGTCGGCTTCAAATTGAGAAAAACTGAAAGTAGTCAAAATATTCTGACCACATTTGCCGTTCGGGTTTCTGTACTTCGTCTACTCTATAAACGATACCGGTACTGAACACACACAAGCCCGGATGTTGCATGGGGTGTACGAAAAGCGCGAGAAGGCGCATGTCAAGTCCCCTAGCCATGCCAACTTGCGGGTACAAACTCTCTACAGTTGACCAATCTGGAAATAATTATACTACCAGATAAGTTGCTTAACGCTTCGGTAGTTAGTTTTCCCGCTAAACATCTTTTAACTGTTAGCATTCTAGCTAACCTAGGATTTTGCAGCTCTGAGGACTGGCTAGTTTCTAGTGCGTATGTACTTATCTTCAAGAAGTCGGTATGCGTCTTTTCTCAAATTCGATGCATGTAGAAATATAGACATATCGGCACATTTTCAAAGAAGGGAGAATAGACGACTCGTACCTTCCTTTTTGCATCCTGAAAATTTTTCGGAAGAAGATTCGGTAGGGATTCATCGTAGGGCCGCCGAATGGTAAAAGTCTCCCAGCCTAAGTATGTTACGGAATTATTGGTTAGAGGGTTAATGCTTGATTCATGCGTAGGAAATGCATATTTACTGCGTGGTAAGTGCACCGTAGGAACTAAATCAAAGACGCTTGTTACTGTTTTAATTAACTAAAATGAATGTTAAAAGTCTGCGGGGAAGACAAAAAAGACCAGAAAAACTGTAGCAGCAAATCCTATTGGTTAGTAAAGGAAGTCTACTGGCCATGGAAACAAGTAGAACATCTCTTAACGGATTTGATGGCACACGAAATGCAAAATGTCATTCTTCCATAAAGACTAGAAAATTAGCAAATATCAACACTGTTTCGTACTCTTGGAAATTGAGCCATCCAGTCTTTTTTAATTTTCCAACTTCTTATATAAAATCAATAAGCTGTATGTACGCTCGCTTCACTCTCTCTGCTAGGGCAATAAAAAATTTGCGATCAGATTAATTTTATTAAAGTCGTCTTACTTTTTTCTATGACTACCACTCTTGTATATGTTCTCCTTTAACAGATTCCGAGTTCTCAGTCACCCCAAGCTCCCCCGGAACATCCCCTTCGATTACCAGAATACGAACTCCACAATGGACAAAAACTGAAGAGTGCGCGGTTGTTCGTAGACCTGAAACGTTATATGCAGCGCCCTCGAATGGGGCCTCTCGGGGACCGATTCCTCTTCCCCATTCATATCCAACACCACCTCTGCCTTCTACATCGCCTCAAAAGCCCCACCCCCTTCAACGATCACTTAGCGCCAGACCGCCGTCAACACCGCAGACTTCATACTCCCCCTCTGTACCTTCCACCTCATCCAGTTCTTGCAACAGCGACACCTATCCTACGGTTGTGAGGAGGAGGAAAACGCCTGTTCACCCTAGACGACGGAGGTTGCAGGTGTGAGTTTAGCCTTCATGAATTACCAGTCTGGTTTTATTTATTCATCTGAATACACAAAGAAAGACCTTTTTCAAAATAAATGAGACTTTATTAAAACTTAAGTTAATCAGCTGATGCAAAGAATAAACCAACGGCGTCCTAAGGAGACGTTTGTTGATAGACTCGGTATTCTATCAAAATATTTAAGAAAGTCGGGTTTAAAGAAAGTGACCGAGAGAGGGGCGCTCCCTCTATTCAGTCGCAACCGATAGGATAACTAACCCCTTGATTCAATGGGTTAGGGCGTTTGAATTCTAAAAAAACAGGTCACGAACTCGAGCCCCAAGTGTTGCGACAGCTGGGATTGGGTATGGCTGGCTGATGAACGCTAATAATCCAGAA